TGCATCTATCGATGGCCACTGGGTCCCTCGCGTGTCGCCACCGACGCCTCGGAACGATCTCAGACCACACCAGCATCACCCCGGGAAGCAGATCGAACAACCTGTTCAGGTCCTGCTTCATCCATTTAACCAACCGCCGTTGCGGGATGAGGCCCAGGTCATTGCCCCCGGCGTGCAGAACTAGCATATCTGGCCTCGCCCCACCTGCTACCATCCGAATTATTGCCCCGCACACGTCGCCCCAGCCAAACCCCTTAAAGCCCAACCATCGCACTGTTAGGAGGTCTTTCGGGAAGCCCAGCTGTTGGCCCTGGGCTCGAGCTGCAGCTCTCCGTCCGGCCCAAACGATGAAGGAATGGCCCACAATCCATGCGACACAACCTGGGGAAGAAGGGAAACAACGTAAACACCCATACCCATACCGGGGCCCTCCCCCCGACCGATACAGCCCGCATCACTGATCCAACAAACCCATGCGCACATACGTGCGGAACCGAGCGGATTCCCATCTCCCAATCCTTTTGACTAACTCGTCCCCCATGCCCAGACGCGCGGCCTCAGTGGCCGCCCCTATGCGAAAGGAATGCGTCCCGTAGGCAGCAGCACTCAACCCCAACGCCCCCAGACCCAATCGGAACACCTTAGTAAATTGGAAACGGGAGAGCGAGGAGCCATCGGCATGAACCAATAAAGACCCCCGACTGCCGGTCTCAGTTCCAAGAACCGAGCTACAGCCGCAACCGGGCACAGTGATGACCCAGGCAGGGGACCCAGCGTCACATCCCGGCCTTTTCCCATGACGTCCGTTTTGGATGTAGCCAGGTATACCACCAGGTTCCCAGCGATCATGCGAACACCGGATAACTGCAGACCCCCCGACCCCGACCGCGTGGCGCTCACCAATTCCCCTATCCGGAATGCACCAAAGAAGGCCAAGAGAAAGGCTGTCCTGAACAGGGCTACCTCAAACCCGTCAAAGCAGATTCCGGGAAGCACGTGGAGTAAATTCCCAAGCACCCGAACCGAGACCGGACGCCTGGCATCCGGTACCCTCCGGCCCCTCCGATACCCCTTGAGAGCCTGCCTAATGACGAACGCTTTCGTGAGGTCCTCCCACCCGTGGAATTTGAACCAAAAGGCCATCGCCGCCATGGTCCTATCAACCATTGCTGGGGACACACCTTTTGCCAGCAATTGAAAAATGAACCACAGGAAGGCGTCCTGCGACGATTCCACCTGTGGCCCCTGGCCCAGCCCCTCCCAGGAACGTTCCCAGGCACCCCAAACCTTACTGTATGCGGTCCATGTGGCAGGTGCCAGCGAAGCCCTCACAAGTCCCCCAAGCATGATGCTCCGAGCTGCCCGGTCTCCTGAGCCTCCGGAGCCGCCAACCGAAACCGGGACCACTGAAAACGAGACAGAGCATCAGCCACCTCGTTCAAATACCCGGGCACGTGACGCGCGCGAAAAACTACATTAAGGGACATGCAAAGCAAAACAAAACGTCGCAATAGTGTCACCACCGGTTTGGATGCTGCCGACTGGTTATTGACGGCATGCACCACCGACATATTGTCAGAGAAGAAGACTACTTTGCGGTCCCGGAGACAATCCCCCCACAGGGCCAATGCCACTACCAACGGGAACAGCTCCAGAAAAGCCAAGTTCCGTATGAGGGGGCTTCGTCCCCACGCCTCCGGCCACTTCTGAGCACACCATCTCCCCTGAAGTAGGCCCCGAAACCCACGCTACCCGATGCGTCGGTGAACAGCTCCAATTCGGCCGTAGACACACCCTCCTGACGGAAGAACACCGTCCCATTAAAGTCTTGCAAAAATACCTTCCAGACGTCCAGGTCAGCCCTCATTGAGGAAGAGACCCGAACGAAATGGTGTGGAGAACCGACCCCCGCCGTGGCTGCCGATAGGCTGCGGCTGAACACCCTACCCATGGGTATCACCCTGCAGGCAAAGTTGAGCATCCCGATCAACGATTGTAGCTGCCGCAGGGTCACCTTACGCGCCCGCTGCACCGCGGCCACCGCACTGCGCAGTCCGCACAACTTAGTCAGAGGCAGCCGACATTCCCCACGCACCGAATCTATCTCTAAACCCAGAAAGCTGAGACACACGGTCGGGCCCTCAGTCTTGTCCGCCGCCAACGGCACCCCAAAGTGGCCTGCCACCCACTCCACTGTCCGCAACAGGTGCCGGCAGGCGGGAGAACCCGCCGGCCCTACGCAGAGAAAGTCATCTAAATAATGCACCACCGCGTCGTTCCCCGACTCCATCCGCACCACCCATTCGAGAAAGGTACTGAACTTCTCAAAATAGGAGCACGAAATGGAGCAGCCCATCGGGAGACATAAGTCGACGAAGAAGCCCCCCTCGAAGAAGCACCCCAGCAGGTGGTGACAAGCCGGATGAACCGGAAGCAGCCGAAAAGCAGCTTCAATATCCACCTTGGCCAGTAAAGCCCCACGCCCGGCCCTCTTAACCAGCTCGACCGCCTGGTCGAATGATGCATAAGAGACCGAGCACAATTCCCCATCGATATCGTCATTCACCGACGCTCCCCTAGGATAGGACAGGTGATGAATGAGCCGAAACTTCCCGATCTCTTTCTTGGGAACAACCCCTAATGGTGACACCCTAAGGCCCTCAATCGGCGGCGCTGAGAATGGACCTGCCATCCTGCCCAACCGCACCTCCTTACTAAGCTTCTCCCGGACCACATCCGGAAATTCCCTTACCGATTTCAGATTACGCGTACACAACGAACCCTCCCTCGCTCGGAAGGGGATGAAAAACCCCTGTCCAAACCCCAACCTAAGCAGTTCTGCGTCCCCTGCATTACCGTAGCGGCTTAGCCAGGGTTCCATCGCGTCGAGCCTCACCGGGGTTCGGCCCCGGGGCAGCAGCTGTCCCACTTCCCCCGGGCGCTGGAGGAGCTCCGGCTCCGCCCGACTTACCTTTCTTATAGCATCTCTGGAGCCCGTGGGTCCCACCGCAGCCCGCGCATTCATGCTTGAAGCGGCAGGCCGCCCCCCACTTGCACTGACCTTCGTTGAACGACCAGCATAAGCCCTTCTGCAAGGCGGCCGACGAGGCGGACTGTCCCTTTGCGCCAGCCGCGTGCTGAAAGGGCTGTGCCTTCTGCGCCATCATCAGCTTCATCCACAGGGGCAGGTCCATTTGGTCCCACCTCATCCCAGGATTAGCCGCCAAGCGTTGCCGGAACTGCTCGTCGTACCGCCACCAGGCCAGCCCGCCGTAGGTGCGATACGCTTCCCAGATCCCATCTAAGTAACAGAATAGGGAAGAGCAAGAACTCGGCGATTTCTCCCCTATCACACTGGCTAGGACGCAGAAGGCCCTCAGCCAGTTCCCAAAGGACTTCGGTATCTTTCGATACCGCTTCCGTTTTTCCTCCTCCTCCTTCTTTTCGTCCTTCTTATCCTCCTGCTTGAGGTCAATGAAGTCCTCCAGAGGAAGAAGGGAGAATATCTCACAGAACTCCCCCTTCCAAATTTTTTCTTTCGCCTCCTGCTTGAGGTGCACCCCCAGCGGGCCCGCAAATGACACGTAAGCATGCTGCCTGGCCGCGTCCGACACTCCTCCCGACAATTCCGCCCGTTCGCACCCCACCTCCCCCGGGCTGGACTCTACACCCGCCTCCCCACTGGGCGCGGCTACCACGGGAGTCCCGCTAGCACGCCCCACCTCGCCGGACCCTCGCGTCCAAACCTGACCTACATCGCCCGAAGTGCCACCCCCCGCCCCCAATGAGTGGAGCAGTGACTGAAGTGTTTGAACTAGTGTATTGGACCCAAGGGGGCCAAGCCCCTCGATCCGTCCGTACCCGGGGCTGCATTGTCAACCGCTGCGTGACCTGGATGCGCAACATCCGCCGACGTCCTGCCAACCAGGGAGCCCACCTGGTGCCTCGATAACGTGGAAGACGAACGGCTCGGAGACCTGAAATGAGGAGAAGACATCCTGGGCAGGGGGTAGTGCTCTCCGGCTCCCCTCCCGTCCCGACCCAGGGAGCGCCTGCCTGCTACCAAGGCCTCCCGCCGTGCACCACTCTCC